CTCACATCACAAAGGGTGAATATTTTTAAACTCTTACAAAACCGTTAGAATTATGTTGAAATCGTCGCCCCTTACATATGCAAACGCGCTGAAGGCGCCAGTACCAGTCACATCTACTATATTCGCCTAGTTTTCGAGTTTAGATTTTTATGAAAGATGGCACCATAAAAATAGTTATTCGTCAGATAACTTAACCAATACAAAAAACAATGGCTCCATCTGACAGAATTTTACTGTTGCATAATTATCTAGACTTTTTCGAGTTGCAACCGATTCTTTTAAGACTAAAAATATTAATTTAGAAGAAAAATTATTAAAAAATTGATAAACAAACAGAAACCGCTTCAAACCGGCGATTTTCCTATGAACTGCCGGTAACCGGCGGTTTTGATGAAAAATTGACGAGATGGGCTTTCAGCGATTTCCATGTAAAGTGGTGTAAAGTTCTTAGAAGTAACAAAGGTCACAGTACTTATCAGCGATTTTCATGATAAGAGCTTAGAATGTTTGAAAAATCGTTTTATAAGCTACGTTAACCCAGTCAAACAAAAATTTTGAAAAACGCGTTTAAACGCACAATCGGGAACCGCGACTGTGATCCATTAACGCTCACTAAAAAAACGCATGGAAACGCGTTTATTGGCGTGTTTTGTAACTTTCTGGGCGTCAAAACGGCGAAAATTCCAGTTTTTGAGCGTTAAAACGTATTGTTTTTAAGTTCTAGAATAATAGTGCGTTTTAACGCTCAAAAGCTGGAATTTTCGCCGTTTTGACGCCCAGAAAGTTACAGAAAACGCCAATAAACGCGTTTTCGTGCGTTTTTTTAATGGCCGTTAATGGCTTACAATCGCGGTCCCCGATTGTGCGTTTAAACGCGTTTTTCAAAATTTTTGTCTGACTGGGAAGCGGCTTTTCTTAGCGAAGTAATTTTCAGAAGTTTGAAATGGATGTACTTCGGCGCTTTACAGTAGTTTACTGCAGGGTTAGCTTTTCAAGCTGGTGAGAAATAGCTTACAAAGCCAAAAATTTGCACATGGGTGCGTTTTAACATATGAAAGATAACAGCATTTTCAAGTTTCCAAAGATAAAAGTTTACAGTAGTTTTCAACGCTTTTCATGAAAAGTGCTGGAAAGCGCATAAAGGAATAAAAGACTACAGTACTTTTCAGCATTTCTCATGATAAGCGCCACAAAGCGCTTAAAAGCATAAAAATTTACAGCACTTTTCATGATGAGCGCTGGAAAGTGCTTATCAAAGCGCATTGTAAGCGATATTAAGCGGCTTAATTGGTTGAAGCCGCTGGCAGTAGCTTAAGACCGTAATGTTTAAGCGCTTTAAAGCACTTGATTGAAGTGTAAGCTTATTTAAACCGCTTCAAAGTAGCTTACAGAGCTCGCATCCCACCAACACTTTGTAAAAAAAGAGGAAAAAAGAGGCACAGCATTCTTGGAAAAAAGAGGAGAAAAAGCGGCATACAGTTTTTGTCCGAAGAAAACTAAAACCCATCGGCACAATAGTAGTATAAATCCAATAAAACTCGTACGTTATCAATACAGATTGAATATGACTTGAAAAAAGTAAAAAAGAAACGAAACTTCCACTTGTTCATAGAGATGTTTGTGCAATTGGTTATGTATGCATTAGAAAACGGGAAAACATTAGAAAAATAGTCTATTCCATTTGCGTATTATCTGACTATAATATTACTCTATCTGACTAAGTAGGCACACAGAAATAGAAACGATCAGAATTCATAAAATGTCTTTTTTGCTTTTTGTTCGTTTTTTTCAGATGACTGCACATGTGAGAAAGGCATTTTTTTCGTTTTTTGCAATTTCCAGCAATTCTTCCATGATTTTGATCGTTTTTCTCAAGTCAGTTTCACTTTTCCGTTTCCCAGCGTAAATTATTACATTGGTTGCAATGGTATCCAGACAGCGAGGTTTTGAAAAATTGTTTGGCCCCGTGCTATCGAAAACGCTTGATTTTTCCCAGTGAAATATGGTGATATTTCTGCGTTCTGTAGAAAAGGACTTATTTGTATTGGGTAGATTATATGATTCCCTGCTTTTTGGTCATCGAGGCGCCCCTGTTTGTCGCTATCGCATTCCATCATATCTGATTTCTTCCAAGTATCATCAAATCGTTGTCAATATTAACCTATGTCAAGCAAACACGCTTGTAATCGGAGAAATGCGGCGTTTTACATTACCCAGTATTACGATTGTATAACTCCGTGATCCTATGCGCAGAAATATGATCGTTTATGGACAAACAAAGCTCGTATACGGCTTTCATTTTACTCTGTGTTTCTTCGTATAAGATCATATTTCTCCATGTACGGTTTGGAGATATACGATCGTCCAAAATGTGATTGTACACGGAGAAACTCGGAAGGAGAAGAGTTACTTCGTTTTGACAGTAAATCAATCGCATAAGGTAATCTAGCAGCGCACCACGGGATCTGTAATGATCGCAGCAATTTTGAAGGATCAAATATTGCCGGATACAACATGAAAACCTTTATCGGTATCTGATAAGCAGAAATCTTCAACTTACGACATCATAGTGTCGGAAGCTATCTTGCCGAAGAAATCCCATCGGATCTGGCAGGATTCTAGGATAGGCCTAGCCACTCTGGAGACTTCTTCTCACTTTGACGCATGCGTTACGCTATGAGATAGTTATCCATTGTTAGATTTACATCACGAGCTTCTGTGGTGCCGAAAAAACGGTCAAGAAAAGTAAGCTCACGATTATGATTTTACATGTCGATGTTAACCAGAAAAACTTGCCAAGATCGTGAGAAAATGATGAGTTCACATCGAAAATATAATTGAGTGATTTTGCCTACTCTAGAAAGTTATAAAAATTGAGTCTCAATTAGGAATATAAAATATCACTGGAGTTGATCACTAAAATCATCTACTTTAGCCTCCATAATTATACAACTCGATTGATCTACACATCAGTTTGTATTATGTGATATTTTTGTATGATATGGTAACATTAATCAATATATTCATGGATGTTTTCGCCAGCAGCCTACTTTGTCGTGAGAAAAGAGGAAAAAGAGGATTTTTCTGAAAAAAGAGTGTAAAAAGAGGAATTTTGAAAGAAAAGAGGAAAAGGAGGGAAAAGAGGCGGAGTGGGATGCCAGTTACAGAGGCAAAAATTTTCACATGGATTTCAGCTTTTTTCATGATAAGTGCTGAAAAGCGCTTAGAAGGATAAAAATTCACAGCACTTTTCAGCCTTGTCCATGATAAGCGTTGAAAAGCACTCAGACGAATAAAAATTTACAGCACTTTTCAGCTTTTTTTCATGATAAGTGCTGAAAAGTGCTTAGAAGGATAAGAATTCACAGTACTTTTCAGCTTTTTCCATGATAAGTGCTGGAAAGCGCTTCTCAAAGCGCGTTGTAAGCTATATTAAGCGGCTTAATTAGTTGAAGCCGCTTTCAGCAGCTTAAGACCGTAGTATTTAAGCGCTTTAAAGCACTTAATTGAAGTGTAAGCTTATTTAAGCCGCTTAAAAATAGCTTACAAAGGCAAAAATTTTCACATGGGATATATACATTCAAAAACAAATAAACTTCAACAATGAGATATTCCGTTGCTGAAAGCTGTTCATTTTTGGATTTAGAGTTTTGCTATCTTTTTAAAATTCAACTGTTATGATGTTTCTTGAGTGAGGTATTACATTTTTAAGGGCTAACTTATCTTTCACTAGTCTTCTCTTCCCATTAGAGAAACATGATGACGAACCTAGGCGATAGAATAATATTACAGAAGATAAGGCATCGAAATTACTGTCCTTGGTTTTCTAGTTATTGTCATTGATGATTATTGTTCAATAGAAACAGATCTCTTGTCTTTGAGAGTTTGACGAATTCTTCAATCGAAGGGCGTTTAATAATTTTCTCTTGCCAACAGGGTGTATGTGAAATTATTTTTCGTATCTGCTATTAATATTCATAACGTTTACGCGCAGAGAACACGATGAGTGCATACATTTCTTTCGTTTCGAAACACCCTTACAAAAAAAACTGCTGTTCACACTCGTTTCGGGTGATTGAATCTTCCCTTAATTATGATTTTTCAATCATAAACAGTAGCCTTGTAGATCTATTTCATGGTTGAGTATGTGTAATTTATTGGTGAAATAATAAACACTCTATTATGAATTTGTTACTTGCAGCAGTCAACAAGTCGAGGGCCTCTATTGACTAATGAAAAAAGAAAAAAAAGTGTTTTGCATATCAAATTAATCATATGTGAAAACATCACTAAAAAAAACTTCTTAGTGCAGCTTCTTTGGGTGTGGGGTGGGTGCGGGTGTTGGTATGAGAGCCTCATCGAAGACCAGACCCACACCCACACCCGACTCACGCCACACCCCACATCCACACCCACCCACACCCCACCCACACCCACACCCCACATCCACACCCACCCATACCCTACATCCACACCCCACATCCACACCCACCCACACTCCACCCACACCCACACCCCACACCCACCCACATCCACACATCCACACACACCCAACCCACACCCACACCCACCCTCACCCACACCCACACCCACACCCACAAACCCAAACCTCATCCACACCCACATCCACACCCAAACCCACACCCACACTCAAACCCACACCCACACTCAAACCCACACCCACAAATCCAAACCTCACCCACACCCACATCCACACCCACACCCACACCCACACTCAAACCCACACCCTGAGTCACACACAGCAACACCACCAACACCAAAACCCACACTCACACATCCACACCCGTACTCACACCCACACGTGCATTCACACGCTAAACATGTCTAGAAAACTTCGTATGTGTGATTTGGTTTAAAGCGGCCTGGTAAGGTTTAAAAGTCGTTGAAATAAAAGGAAAATATAATTAAAAAGCCCGCATCTGCAAAAAAAAGCGTCCCACAATGCCTCATGTTTTTTTGAAAATATCCACTTCATTTATTCAATCAGTGTATATTATATAATTCACCGTTTGATATGGTTGCATTAAACTGAATTTCTCGCCATCTCCAACCGATCCAGTTTGCCCAGACAACGTGTGAAGATGGTCGCCGGCATAATGTATACTTATACCAGTATATCCAGTCGGAATCGAATGCGAATGGGTTCCTTGAGTTATTCTCCAACCATCCGGGCCTGCGTGCCATTTACCGTTTCCATTTAGAAAACCTCCATCTCCCGTTCTACCGCCATGATTATGTCCTGGATCAGTGATTGAATGATAATGACTGCCATTTGATGACATCGAAATGGTGCCAAGATTATGTGAATGTGAAGGCAATTGATTTACTGTGATTGAATGTGTCTCGTTCCCCCCTGTTAAACCCAAACCACCAGCCACCGGCATACGCAATCCCAGTGAATCGACTCCTACCGGTACTCTACCTTGAAAGTCTGGTATATTGAAGGTGGTAATGCCGTCACCCGATCCGTACGTTGTGCCAATCGTCGCAAAAAGACGTTGATAAGCAACCCGTGAAACAGCTGATCCATTGCAAAAGAGCCATGGAGCTGGCGGATGTGTGCGGCCACTATATAATTTTATTTCACCAGTGAGGAAAATACTCACAGGTCGCGAATCTCCGGTAGCTGTTGGGCTGTTCATCGTGCTAATGTGTCGTATAATCGCATTTTGATTCTTATCAATGGTAATTTGTTTAGCGACCAGAGCGACTTGTAAACTATCTGTTAGATCGCTCATTTTATAAACTTGAAATGATTTTGGTATCAATTTTTCACCTTCCCAACTGAAATCAACCTGTTGTTCGTTGAGCAGCTTAACAACATCATCTTTAGAATATTTTTGATGATCTGTCTGTGCAAGTTTATCGTAAAATGAATTTTTTGAGGAAGAGGATGAACCACCGTTACCACCAACCGAAATACCGAGAAAGGACACACTAGCACCACCTTCTTTTGAACTGCTGCTAGATAATTCTTTCAAATATTCTTTATCGACGCTAAGATATTTATCAGATGCCATATGTTGTTCCGTATCGGAAGCATTTTTCGTAAATACTTTACTGAGTTCAGACGTAATTCGATCAGGGCGTAAATCTGCTGACGACCATGTCTCATTGAAATGACCGGCATCAATTACAACTCGTTGAGCACTTTCCATTCCTAAAAAAAAAGAGAAAGTACGTGAGTTTCGAAGAATTACAATCTTTTTGTAAATAGAGACAGCACGTCTTAGCAACTAACAACTAACAAATGAAGCTACACTAGCTCGTTTGATCTCATCAGCCGCTTACCTTGTTGTAACAATGAGATAAACTGATCTTCAAGTCCTTTTGCTAACGATTGTGTATCGACGTCTGAACTTTCGGAATAAATCATCTTCTTCACGTTCGTTATATATTGCCCGACAAATTTGGACGCCTGATTACGATGAATATACTTTGCATCTGTATTACCACCGTCAGCAGTTGTCTTACTAGATATACTTTTCAATTGCTCAGCTGTGATTGATACTAGTGATGTTGACGTATGTTTGAATCCATCAAAATAAAATGCAATTTCAATTTCATATTCACCGCTGCTAATCATCTTAGCAACATGCTGTGAACTATTATCTGTTGAACATGAAAATCGTAAAATCATAACTAATGCATTTGGATTAACAGAATGGTACGGTTGAACGCCTGCTACAGGCAAATTGCTACCTGTTACAACGTAGGCAGTCAAAGAATCAATCATTAAAGGCGCAATATCCCAATATTTTGAGTATTCAGCTGATTTCATATCAAATTTTTTTGCAATTGCTTCACGTGCCATATGTTCTACTTCGCTATCACCTAACATCAATCTAACACGAACTTCATTTTTCATTGACCATGCCCAGATATCATTTTTCGAAGTTTGCATCGGTGCCATAAGTGGAACATAGTAGAATATCCATCGATGTGGATTGAATTTATTCTCATTTTCATTGGCAAATGAGCTGTATATATAGATTTGACTGCCGTTGTAATTGAATAGTGTGAAAATATTTGTATTAACCGTACCGTCTGCCAAACGACGTTGATTAGGAATAACGAAAGTTGATAGTTCTTCGTTTTCTTTAACAACATTCAGTGAAAAGGTGGTGGCATTGAAGGACTGAGTGTCGTTAATGATTGCTAGACCGTGAACTGGCAGTAGTGTTAACAAGAGAAACACAAGAGACAAAAAGGCGAAACATACCATATTGCTTGTTTTGTTCAAACTGAGTTCAAGAAAATTGGAAGTGAATGGAGTATATATGGGTATCTCCATGGGAAGTCGCCAGGTCAATCCGGCGACCTCGTCAAAATCCAACGAAACTTTCAGAGTTTGTACAGCTTTCTGCGCTGATCA